AATGTCTAAGCGTCTGCCAAGCGCACCACACAGCATCACGCAATGCTCTTTCTTTCCTGCGAGAACTGTCTGCTACGACGTCTTAAGAAATCTGCAGTCCCATCAGTTTAGGCCGTCTTCCATTTATCCCAACACATTCATCGTCTTCCAACCAGTATGCGCATGCAGATTGCTCCAAGGCCGTTGTCTCTAGCGCTGTCGGTTCTTCCCGACTGGCCTATTTTGTTAACTTTTCTTCGAACTGTGAGAAAACGGTATTGGTATGCACGTGTGGGAACGAAGCTATTTTTCTACGAATCCTCTGGCACGCTCTGCGCCGCGTGGACCTTAGCGTGTCGTAATGCCTTCTTCTCACGGGCTCTCTTGAAGAAACACGGTCGGTTGCACAGTATCGCTTTCCGTGAAGCAACAATACGAGACGGAGAATTCGAACGTGCGTTTGAACGTATTTATACCCATTCTGCATCTCCTTTACGCGTTTCATAAGTACAAGCCATCGCATGGAAGGAGAGAGGAGGTCAGATTGCGCTAAAGGCTGCGTTGAAAGGTGGTTATGGAAGGGTCCACACGGTGGGAGGAAAAGGGGGGAGATGAGAAGTGAGGGCTATTATCAGCGCTTTATAAATCTCGTCAACGGGCGAATGCCTCGACGAGGCGCATCAAAAATTTAAGCCTGCCAATACGCGATGCAGGGGTCCATCGTTCGCTGCGAGCGAGGGAGGGGACTGGACGTGATAAAGTGACTCAGTCGAAAAAGAATCGCGATTTGCCCATCCTGAGAAGTGAACTTGGATGAACGAATTATCCAAAGAAAAAAACGACAGGTTATGCAGAAAAAAACTAAAAAAAAAAAACGGTGTGCGAGATTGCGGACCTTGCGTCAAGCGAGAAAAAGCCAGTAAAGAACAAAGGAAGGAAATGTTGGTGGAGCTGGGATTATGGGATATGGAAATTGGGGCCAGTGAATTCCCTTACTGAGCACATTTTTATGCGCACGACAGGAGAAAGAACGAAACGAGGAAAGGTATAAAAAAGAATAGAAATCGGAGGTGTTTAAAAAGTCGGTGCGCTAAAATAGAGGGAAGTAAATTCGGCTGTGGGAAGAAAAAAATAAAACTGCAGAAGCTCGTGTATTGCTATACGTCTGCCTCAATAACCGGTAATTTGGAGAATGCAAACGTCCTATACCAAGACAGGCAGGGCACACGCCCATACGATGGGCGAGGAAGGAAAAATTGCTCCCAGATTTCAGATAAAACGCCAAGTAGTCTCATGCTAAAGCGAAGAAATGTTTCAAAAGAATGTGGGATGGAGTGCGGGTGCCACGCTGGGACAGTGGTAATTATGCGTTTGACTAAAGATGTGCGCATGCGCAGACGTTTTCTGCATTGGTAACAGTAGCTGCGGATCGGAAAGTATTTCTAAATGCGCTGAAGGTGGCCCGCAACTTCACTGGGGGAGATCTTAATTCGCGAAGCAGACAGCGCCCGATAAGTACACCACATTACAATTTCGAACGAAATAATGCTAGCTGCTAAGTCAAAGGAACACTTTTCTAAATATATAAGTCGATGCAGTCTGCTGCTCCGTATATGTATTCACCGAAATAACAAAAATTGAATCACCGATTTATGCTGACAAGCAAAAATGAAAACAACATCATTAAAGAAGTAATACAAGCATGAAGATTGTCCTATAACTTCCACTGGAGCACGCAAGTCAGTAGTGTTGTAAAAATTTTCGGCATTTTACGAGCAATACTTTCGGTTAACGTGTGCCAACCGAGCACCTCATACAAATGAAACACTTAAACGATTGCACGTAATATTGTAGGTGTCAAACCTGACGTTAATTATTTTTCGCGCCTGGAAGAGAAAAAGTAAGGTTCAGATGGATAAGATGCGACTAAGCTGTTTGCTGCCCTTCAGTGATGTGAAAATATGTTGAAAAATGAACGCCAGGCCTTTTTTTACCACTTTGCTTCATCCTGCAAATATATCTATGCCTGAAATACAATAAGGTAACTGGCAGAGAATTTCGCGCACCTAATTACTCGATATACTAGGGACTGATACGATAGGCTGGTGTGGTTGCAGCATATTAGCCGCGATTCCCGGCATAGAACGCCCTGTTACCTTCATAGTTTCCAGAAAACAGTGATTCGATAGTACACCACTAATAACAATTCTACTGCGACTGCATATTCCCCGAATCAATTTCGCTCAAACATCAGATGATAGTGTAACGCGCGATAATTTAGGAGGAAGCGAGAGTTGGTGAACTAAGCCTAATCTATGAGCCTGCAATACAGCTATAGTCATGTTAAGGCGTATGTTGAGCGCATGAAGTTCCGTAAGTTTCTTCCAATTGGCTGGTTTCTGTGCTACGTTGTTGAATAGAGACTGCGCGAGAAGCCTGATTTTTTTTCCTTAGAGGATTTTTTCGCAAGCAGGCATGGAAACTTCAGCGATTCCTTCCTCTGCAGTGTACCATGAAATAAAAAAATCAAAAGTAATTGCCGTGGATCAGGTGAAACTGTAAAATTGTACCAAAGAAACAAGGGTAAAAGCAAAGGCGTTCGTATTTCTCTCTTCTCATCAGCGATATGCCTCATTTACAAAGATTGCGTTAGCAGTCCTAATAAATTGCATGCCCAGTTAATCTTACGTACGTCTTATTTTCTTAGTTTTGGCTCATGGTCTCAATGTCTAAACAAGAAAGAGAACTTAGGCGTGGGTCGACAAGGATAATTAATTTTCAGGAGTACGTCTTTCAACAGCAAGATGTGCATGCTGGTTCTCTTGCAAAAATCTCCCGCTATTTCTTTTTATACCCTCTTCCTAATGAGAGCAGTCAAGAATGCGACGAGCGTTCCACGCTGCATGTAAAACATCTGGCCCAGTTTATTACGTCATGAGGCTGGCAATTCTTAATAAAGCTTGCTTCTCTTTCAAAACCTTCTCTATCAAAATGAGCAACCATCATGTAAAGTAGGGTGAGTTCGTTAAGATCATCTTCTAAGAAAACTGAGGTATCTGTCTCTTCCTTCTTTCTTTGCGCCTTGTCCTGCTACGCAGTAGCTTACAAAATAATCTAGAAGAAAGCATACCCCAGGATGTAAAATCTTCGTAATTAAACAAATAAAACGTTTAGAAAGATCATCTGATTGAGAGTACAGCAGCTTAAATCGCTGCCCCCGAAGGAAGCATCATGTTAACAATATGCTAAGGTGTGCCAGTTAGTGCATCATTACTTACTTGAAAAACGTAGCACTAGCTCGAAAGTATCTTTAGTCTGTTATCGGCCCTTCTCACTTTTAAGCTTGCGCCACGTCTTTCAATTAACGAAGCATCATATCCGTAAGGTGCACTTGGTTCTCCATAAAACAGGAGAAGAAAGCTGTGTTTTACAAAAATTTCACAAAGTTGTGATGTAAAAACTAAACTTAAGCGATTACATACTGCTCATAACGGCTTGCTATCCGCCCATGGCTTTCCGGGGGTGCCGGTTGGAAGTAATATAGTTTTTCAAAAGCAACTCCAGGAGTGTTTAGTCTTCGTTGTCCACAAAAGCATAATTACCCATGCTCATAAGCATTAAAAATGACGCCAAAGGTTCTTGAGTAATGATCTGGTATAAAATGGGCGCTCCTCACCCCCCTTTTTGCCTAATTAAATAGAAAGGAGTCGCCGCCCTCATGCATCCCCCATGCGCACTTTGATCATCTTAAACAAGACGTGATGCATCACACATAAAAAACAGCAATAACGAGCGTTGCTGCGCATCAACTACTACAGACATGTTCTTCAATCACAGGTGCCACGCACCTGCATGCCCATTTGCAGGTAGGCTTACTCTTTGTATTATCCAGCATATGCCTATCCTTATCATTGTAGTATACATGCTGGTAGTGCGCCATTATTAAAGCCACGTTTGAATATGCAGAAGTTTCTTCTTTGATCGTCCTTTTGTGCTTCAGCATGTATGTTTTGTAATAGTAGTCAGCGTAAATGTATGATGATAACGATAGATGTTACACTCGGTATTAAACTGAAAGTATTAAATAACCCAATCGACAGTATTTTGGTTATTACTGCAACTTAGGCTGTCTATGTAAGGTACACGTATTGCCTTTAATATATAGATACGAAAAAGCTTAGGCATTTTCACGAAAATTACTCTGTCATATAACTTGCTTGACGCTGCGACTATATGAGTGAATAAGCATTAATGAAATGAAGCACACAGTTAAGATGTCTTGGTGACATAAAAAGCTGATGAGTACGTAAATTATGACAAGAGTGATCAAAAAAACGTATGTAATGTTAATGTTGTAGACTGTTGTTGTAATCGTATTCTTCATAAAATTTAATAAAGCCACTGACCCACAATGCGTTGAATTCAGTTGTCAGTAACGCACAGCAAACGGCAAACTACTAACGCCTTTGCTACAGGTCTTCGTCATATTAAAGCTCGATACTGTTAAAAACTTTCATAGTATTAAACACTATTTTCTCGTTCGACCATACAACATTTCATGGCATAATAAAAAGCGACTTTTTTGTGTTATTGATCGACCAGCTCCTTGTCATGACACAACTGTTATAAGTGGCGATAAACCTTAGCGGAGGCAAAAAGTAAGAAAACAATCAAAAACATTCTAAATTTTTAAAAATGTTATCTTCTTACTTATTGTGAAAACACAGCTTGTCATCATTTCATATAAGCCATGGCCGTTTATTTGACAGAACGCAAATGAATGGCTGGGACGCTAATTTGAATAGGAGAGCCAGAAAACTAGTGATCAAGCTTAAAGCTGCGGTCCGATAACATAGATTGCTGGTTCGTATGACCAAGGAAACAGGAAACAGCTTATAAATATTCATCAATACTTGCAAAGGATTGTTTCGCAGCTGAAGCATGCGATTCCCTGCAAAGGATAATGCTTAAAAGGAGTTAGGTATCTGTGTTCGAACACAAACTCCATACGACAGGAGTACCTGAAGTGGTGTATTCCGAGGATAGGAGAAACTCCGCCGCTGTCTCCGAGAAAGCGAACAACACGGTGAGGCAGAGGGAGTACCACCATCCACGCATCCCGAAAGGGCTGCGGTGCAGGCCGGCTCGAGCGCAACTTTTCCTGGGAGGGCTCATGCCGGGCCAGCCAGTAAGTTCATCGGGGAAGTCGGAGGCGTCCTTGTCCGCTAATCACACTCGCGCGATACACAGCAAAACTCGGAGTTCCGGGTCTCGGAGAAAAGGGGCAGATTTGACGGGCAAATTACACTTCTGGTAGGTTCGTGTCAGCGTCCGAATGGCGTTCACATGTGTGTCAGAGGGAGCACGTCACTGACGCCACATCCTAAGGAATGCAGGGACATGGTCGTGTTGACGCTCCATGCATCTCCTGCACTATCGTTCACACCCCACCAACACGGTTAACGTGAATCACAGTTCACTCAATCCGATAGGCACGCAAGAACAATGCTCCTGCAGATACCCCACCAGACGTTCAAGTTTGTTTTGATTTGTTTCCGTGCTACAGCGTCCAACCTTTCTAACCGACGACCTCACTGTTTCCCGCCCTGCCGGCAGGCGCGATCCCTAGAGGCAAACTTTTCGCCGCCCCCGTCTTCTCCCTTTCTTTTCCCGTCTTCAGTGGTGCGCACGACTCAGAAAGTGGGACAGTGTCGTGAGGAGGCAGGCGGCTGCGGCGGGCACCGGGAGTACAGCAACGGCGGCAGCCACGAGGAAGCAGCGAGCGCTCGCTTCACCGCAGGACGCGTCCGATGCTTGTGGCGCCTCAAGGTGGGAGAGGGGGTGTCTGCGGCCTTAGTCACGTGGGAGGTGCCGCTTCCCGAAACGCGCCTGCGCGGAAGAGGAGAGCCCTGACGTCACGTCCGCGCTCCCTTCCCTAGATCCCCTCGCCTTCCCGTCCGACGTCCCGGACGGCGGCGTCGTCCCGTCGCGCCCCAAATGGAGGGAAGAGCGAGAGCGCGTGGATGGGGATTGCAGCGTTGGCGCGTTTAATCCGCATCGCCAAGAAACGCGCGTGCCTCAACCACGCTTTTCTTCCACACACCCTCTTCCTCGCTCTCTTGGTTGGCCCGGCCTTCCCCTTCTCTGCGGAGGCACCCCCTTGGCCCGCATCCAAGTGGAGGAGACTTTTGTCGAGAAACGGGCTGCTGCGGGACTGTCGATGTAATAAAATAATGTTCGCTCTTTTCCATTGCGCCGAGGCCTCGATTTTATTTTTATTTTCCTGATTTTACTTCTCGAGCATTTCCAGTGGGCAGGGGCTTTTTATTCTCAGTGGGCCGTGGCTGCTGCGTATTTGCGGCTACTGCAAAGTGGAAAACGTGGAGCGAAAGCAGCGGTGCGAATCCGTCTTCCAACATGTTTCCTCATGGCCTCGTCATGGGACCTGCAATGCTTCCGGTGCCTCTAACAAAAAAGAAAAACAGAATGCCATTGTTCGTGCTTCGATCAGACGGCCAGCAGCCGAACAAAACAGGTTGTGTGTCCTTGATGGGTCTGTCGTATTGTAAGCTAAGAAGAAGCTACGCAGGAAACTTATGTGGATTCATTTTGAACGTTTTACCACTGTCGTAGTTTCTATAAAGTTGCACTAAGAATAAGTATGTTTTATGGAAGTGGAACGAACAAGCGTTCACAAAGCATCATAGCTTCAACATTTATAACTCGTTCATTCGTCCTTTTGAAGAAATAATGATCATTAGCCTTCCAGCGCTTCATCGAAAGACTCTTTCGTAGCAGTAAAGATTCACGCGGAACTGAAAGCACTTTCTTCTGGATGCTTTTTCTGGGGATTACTGATGATGCGATATATATTATTCACAAAGGACGGTAAGCATTGACGTTTCATGTGAGACTAAGCTTAAATAACCTATTCTGAAGTAAAGCGAATATTTTGACTGTGTATTCAGGTACATGATCTTTGATAAAGTCGGTCTCATTTTCTGAATTGCTGATTTGAGGTTCAGCGCGCCAAATGAAAGGAGTATACCAGTTGAATCAAAGTACGGACCTCTACACAGTTCTCTTTTTCTTTTTTTAGTGAAAGTAGCTGATAGTCAGAAGCAAACGGCTGTGATGCGCAGAACAACGAGGCGAGGACCAATTTTCTCGTGAGTTTTGAGCAATATGAGATCTTGTCTCCGTGGGAACAGAAGTGGATATATTGAATGGTGTTTAAAATTACCATAATAGTAACTAGTTTTAGTACACACGAAAAATTGTAGGACCCTTATGTTCCTGATAGCAAAATTTCAAGCAGTGTAGCTTTTCAGATAGTGGTCTGTGCTACGAAGGACAACATTTTGCCAGGAGTATGTTGGTATTCTTCAGAGAACCTATTCACTAGTGCACATGTGAGTGAGAGTACAAATGGTTTTAAGGACATCTTAGTCAATATAAAAAAGAAAAAAAGTTAATATGGGCACGAAAAATAGCGCTTGATCAATATATGAAGGTTAACGTCCCAAAAGCACGATATGATTATGAGAGTTACCGTAGTGGAGGGCTCTGAAAATATCGACCACCCGGCGTTATTTACCGTGCGCCCAAATCAGAGCACGTGGGCCTATAGTATGAAGCCTTTCCGCCTCCACGAAAATGCAGTCGGGGCTAGATCCCGTGACCTGCGGGTCAGCAGCCGAGTGCCTTAGCTACTATAGACCACCGTGGCGGGGCGGGACATGTAGCGCGTAGGCAAGATAATCACTGCTGATCAAGAGAAACAGACAGTATGCCAACAAAATGCAAGTGCATGAGCGGGAGAGAGAGATCTGGCACATGAAGTGAAAAAGTTTTCAGGAGAAACGTGGCCGCAGCAAGCGAAATCGGGCTGATTTGTGTTGCATGGGATATGCCTTTGCCCTTCAGGAAGCTACGTAGGGGTAATTATGTTGATAATGTCGGTATGTACTCATAACAGTTGCTTGCGCGCGTTGGCACGACATATGCCACAGAAAAACTGCAAGAAAACACAGAGAACCAGAAAAAGGAGGAAAAGACAGCAGAACAGACTCACAACAAGCTTTACTTGTCAGAATCTCGCAATATATACTTGCGGAGTATATAGTGTTAATGATGCGCAGTCATGATGATGATGTATGACTGTTTTTTGCCATTTCTATTGCTCTTGTTTGCAATATACAGCACTGACCTAGTGTTCGTCATGCAAGGAGTAACCCAGCACTGCCATCTCTCTCCTTTCATCTCTAGTCATTGTGTATTTCTTGCGCCGTTTTCATGTGAGGTGTGTATCTAGCCAACATATGTGATTAATTTATATGTGAAGACAAACACGCCCGTAGCCAGCTTTACAGTGATGGGTAGGGGATAATACTTTTGTGCCATGGCGGCAAATGAAAAGAGTGGAGACACATTCATTAGGTGCGAAGAAACTGAATGGGTGGTTTCCTCGTGGCTGTGACAATGTTTGATGGAGCGTGAAACCAGAAATCGTATTTGGAAGGTGCAAGTTCGTTCATTTTCATAAATTATGTTTAATCGGTAAGGTGTTCACAAGGGTTTGACAAACAAGTAACATGCCATATACTGGTATACCCCCCATATATACCCCCCTTCAAAACGAGGTTAGCACGTTCTGAAAAAGATTGCAAGTGCTCATTTTGTGGAAGTCAAATGTTCTTTTTTTTCTATATATAATTTTTATCATGTTATTTGAAGAAGTAAGCAGGAGAAGAAAAGATAGAATAAAAGCAGTTAGTCTAACCGAGGTAGAGCCCAATTGCCTACCCAACTTGTGTGATAAGAAAGAATCACATGAAAAAGAATAACAGAGATCGCTGTTGTTTCCACGAGTTCCTTGCTTGAAGCTGCAGATCATCAACATGACAGTCTTTATAAACTGTATCAGCGCTACTTCTGTTTCTCGCAGCCATCAAACCAGAATGAGAGTATATTTTGAGGTGAAAAAAATTGATTTCCTTTTCTTTTTGTCTTTTCTTTTGTGTGCAAAATTTTCTCCATCAATTATTGGCTTAGGACAAGAGAAAATAAAAGAGTCCATCTCTGAAAGAAATAGACGAGTGACTGTTTTTTTACGCCACAGATTTCTGAGAGAAAGAATGTTTATAGCTGTTGATAACGTTAATAACCGCATAAATACACTGTAATACTCTGAATTTGAAGCATAGCTGATTAGCCGGGTGCTCTCTGAAGGTCGTCATCGTGCGTCAACACTTAAAAAAACGAAATCTCACAAAACCTTTTCATGACCTCGGAGATTGAATCTATAGAATCTATAGAATCTATAGTATCTGAGAATAGACCTGTGTGCTATACAGGATGACCCGAGCTATTCGGACCAATGGGTTTGCTCCGAGGCTGCCATAACATGAAGACAGTGCGGAGCACGTCATTACAGCGTTATAAATATGGCGACTAGGACGCACGTGGTGTTGGAAACACAGGTGCAACAATTGCGGTGGTTATTAAAGAAACACCGCGTGCGAACACGTCAGCGCCGCCACTCAGTCAACACTTTAACAGTGCAGCGACGTCAGTGTGATTGTCGTGCTGTCTTTTTGCCAACTCAACACATGCCTCCCACATTCGTGTTCGTCGGCGTTTGTCCTCTTGCGGACGGGTTCTTTCGATCCACCTGCAGCGTGGAACTATTCCGCTCTCGAAAGCAGCAAGAATGCACACGCAGCACTCTCTTGCTGCTCGTTTCGCTTCTATCAAATACTATAGATAAATAAAAGGGCAAGTGGTGAACAGAGGTACTCGCATCATGTCGGCAACACGGCTGTGATTTGAATACGTCGTGAGCGTGGTGAAATTGAACTCGAGACTACAGGTATCTTCGATTTAGCTGCACCGGTGGCACCAGTTCAATGGGTGCAGCTTCTTTGTCCTCGATTTACTGGTGCGGCACACACGCTCTGCACTGGCTTCCTCGTTTTGCCGTGGTACAAGCGTAGTGCTGCACGAGTTCTCTGCCGGCCTGCACATGCACAAAAGGAGGTGCAGAGGAGTGCAGCATGGCGTGCACCCCTTCCTCCTCGCAAGCTTGGAGCAGACGCTGCGTGTTGTTCAGGGCGTGCGTGCAAATAGTACAGTCAAGCTCGTGTCAACGACGGGTAATATTAACCCTGTCTTATCAGCAGCTATTAAGACTGGATTCTTTTACATTGGTGTCTCATGAGCAGAAAAATCCCACTGTTGTTGGGCAGTAATTAGGAATCGCAGGGGAAAAAAGATTAATGTAATAAAGCTGCTGCTGGAGACGCAAGCTCACTTCGTCTTTACGAAAGCGCGAAACTGATTCGGTTGCAAGCCTTCAAAAAGACTGTTTTAGAATATGTATTCAAGGAAGCTTGTTCACGTGTCTTAGATTGATATAGTGTGAAGAAAAGTGGCTCTGTTGGTCAAAGAACCTCCGAGAGTTTTTGTTTTTTCTTCCTCTATGGCACCGCACGCACTTGCAATAGAAGGCTGACAATACAGGGTCGAATACTTAACCGCTAAATTGTCGTT